GGGGCTTGATCACGTTTTAGTGTATTAGAAAGTAACAAAAGTAATTACATGTCGGGATATTACATTGGACATTTATGGTGTTTTTGTTTTCTCTTTTAGGACATTTCTGTCTTCATAACAAGACGATTCTAAATTTACCATTAAAACTTGTGTTTAAAAAAAAAAATAGCTAAAAAGTGGCTTCTTTTTTTTTTTTGGTAACAAGGTCGAGAGAGACAGTGGAGCTCTTATCTGATTGGCCGGAAGAGGAAAAAAAAACAACATAGGAAGTTCATATTTGTAAACATTGAAAATAAAATTGCCCCCCTTCCCCACAAAAAAAAAAAAAAAAGAATTCAGCGGTGGCATCATCATCATATGATTACTGACAGGGGTATTTTTGGTTTTGGTACAACAGGTGGTCTTTGTGCATATCGCAATGACGACGCACACAACTATCCGAGCGCCACATAACGCTCATCTCCTTTTTGTTTTTTTTTTTTTTGTTTTTTTTTTTGGTCTGACTGTAATAGTTCTACCCTTTTAATTCTTTCTCTCCGTTTTTCTTAATTAAAAACCAAGGTAAAAAGTGAGAGTGGGCGGGGCTGAATGAAGACGACAACATGCGGCTAAAACGAGCCCTAACATGCATGGAAGACGAGATTTGCGAGATTCCGGATGGATGCCCTCGCCATCACCAGCCCCTTTCCTCCCTCGCCCTCTCCGATGAGCTATTGGCAGCGTGTGGGGATTTTTGGTGGCGGCTGGTGCATTCTTACCCAAAAAAACCCAAAAAACAAAACCACACGCACACAAAATGGTCTACAATCAGACAAACTAGCAGACAGAAAAAAAAGGAGGCAAACCTAATGACCAAAAAAAAAAAAAAAAAAGGGGCGATTAGTTCCATCCACTCTTCTTCTTGGTCTGCTAACCGGTTAGCCACGGCTATCCACGCTCATAACAAGGATGCTAACAGTGCAACGCGGTGATGCCGATGACGAGCCGGGCGGCGGCGCTTTGGTAAGAGCCTGCTGGGGAGGGCGACCAATTGAACGAAGCCACAGGTGAAGAGCACGAGCGTGTGTGTGTGTGTGTGTGTGTGTGTGTGTGTGTGTGTGTTTGTGTTTGTGTTTGTGTGGGAAGATAATGAGCATATACATATGTATGTGTGAACATTATGACACGGGTGTGGTAGGAAAGTCCAGAGTTGCGCTGCTGTCCTGTGTTCCAGCACAGTGTGTTGTGTTCATGACATGATCCCGTTGAGTCCAAGATGGGGGTGAGTGAGAGAGGGCGCCGCCCCAGCCCCTCCGCCCTCCCCCCCGGCAACCCCAAAAGTGGAAATGGCCGAAGGCGGAAGCCACCCGGATCAGTTGGAGGTGTCTGAGTGGACGCTGCTGGGAGCTCCGGGAGGGGAGGTGACAGAGGGGGGGTTGGTGGGGTCCTGCCAGCTGTTAGCCTGGAACAACAAAAAAACGGGGTTCAAATATGGCGCTGACTTGATTTGCGAGAAGGAGCCAGCCGATAAATTGGCCGATATGAGTTCTTTTTAACCCTTTCGGGGACAGCGGTGACTACACTGGACAGCTTACCATGTCACAGCGTGCGTGATAGGGTTAAAAAAAAAAGACCCCACAAATACAACACACACTGAAACCATCCGCCAACCAATGACGAGGTGAAATGGGGAGTGGCGTGATGTACATTTTCTATGCTTGCCAATTCCGGCAAAGGGCCGGCCCATTTGTCCGTTATGCAAATAAGCCCCCAATTTTCTTTGTGGCCTGTTATGTATACGATTGGTTACAGTATCAACACAAAAATGCTTGCCAAATAAATGTAATCATTTCTACAAAAAAAAAAAAAAAGGCTTTTCAATGAAATGACGCAATGTGTGCATAATGCTGATGGCGGGCCAGCGGCAGAATAAGCTTGCCCCTCTTCTGCGAGAACCCCGAATAGAAGAACGCCCAAATACTTGAATGGTTTCAACACTAAAAACGTCATCGCTCCCGAGTCACGCAAAACAAAACGGAGAACGATTAGCGACTGTCGGGAGACGGGTCGTCATATCAAATTTTGTGGAAATTCCCCTGGCGTCGACACTTTGAGAACAACTGTCTGTTTGTCATTAAAGTGTGTGGAAAAAGAAGGTCAATGATACACTTTTACAAGATGGAAGTTAGCCCGGCTCGCCGAGACACGCTTTTCGAAAAGACAAAACATACCGCAGACAACAGGTACGCGTTTTCTCCGCCGGTTTTAATTTGATTTCATGCGTTTGTCTGATGCGCGTCCTGTCATCCCGCAAACGTACGCCGATCGATGTTAGCCATCAAGCTATGCCTAACGATGTACGTATGCACCGCCGGCGCACGTAACACGACGGCGCCGAAACATAAACGTGATGTCATGGCTAAGCTCGTGGGACCGGGAGATTGATTCGGTTTCGCCACACTGGATACGAGATTTGATGACTCAGCGCCAGGGTCTGTAACATCCGTCGGAAAACTGGCAGACTGTTGATCATTGTTTTCCAAACTGCTGGGCACTGCTTCAAATGGTGGAAGGGAAAAAAAAAAAAAAAGTGTGGCTCCTTGATATGAACTGAAAAAGGACGCCAACCGGCAGTGGTGACGTATTCGAAAGAGTTACTCACATCCAGGCGATGAGGGGTGTAGAGGCCACTACCTGACAGCTCCTCATAGCCGCCCGTCAGGTGTGTAGCACGGTGCAGGGTATCCACCTGTCAACACACACACACACACACACATAGACACACACACACCCAGCAGTCAATCACAGCAACTCCACAAAGTCGTTACTTTCAAACGCCGCAACCAGACGACAACATCGTCGAGTGAGTCTCCCGCAATCGTGTAGTCATCGCTGCCTGTCTTGTTGACCACGGAATGTTCCGGTTCATTCTAATCACAGCTAACATGACACGCACCGTTGCGTTTCCTTTCCCCGGAGGAAAAGGAAAGATGCCAAAAGAATGGAGCCAGCGAGACGGCACGGAACCAAAAAGCTCACTGGGACAGGTTGTGCTCTGTTTGCGCTGACGAATGGACACTTGCAGGGAAAAAGTATTAGAATCTTTTCTCTGGATTCCTGCATAAATTGGTCATCAAATGAAAGCGGAGCGTCATCCAAGTCACAACAGGCGAAAAAATCCGAAATTGCAGGTAATTAGTCTGAATTTTATGAGCTACAAATGTACCTGCGTTCATCTATGCATGCCAGTGACGTGTCGTGACAGGCGGAACAAATACATCCATCGCCGCTAAATTGCAGAAGCTACATTGGTAGCGTGTCCATGGTTTGTAGCATTTTTTTTTTGTCTAGAGATGAAACCACTGCAAAAAAAAAAAAAAGAACCTTGGGGAAGCGCCTATTTCAGCGGTCTGCAACCAGCAGCTCGGGTGCCGCACGTGGCCCTTTCATGCATCTGCTGTGGCTCTCACAGTTCACATGGAGCCTTGCGTTTCGATTAGAATGAAACCGAATGACCAAACGGAATGAAAAGATGTCAACATCTCAATTAGGATGAAAATCCCGATGGAATTTCTTTCGTATGCACAAGGTTGGACTCTTCCTTTGGCCAGGTCCGAGCAAATGTCTTGCCAGGCTGCGTCCCATCTCCACATGTTGTGTCTGCGATGTATTTATTTCTTTGTGTTTTGCTAAAACAGTCATTTTTGCTGGAACAACTTTAAAATAAATATTTCTGACATTTATCCACTACACGTTGCAAAACAATTATTTGCATGGCATTAGCGCACATCCGTCTATAGTTGTGACTTAGATGACGATCCGATGAGACAGTATTTTATGCTTGCATACTTTTTCCTGTTCAAGTGCATCTGGACATAACAAGCAGAGGGGGAGGAGGGGATGTTTGTAGGAGCGTGGCGGGGATCAATGGAGGCGGGAAGTGTGTACCGTCGATCTGCACCCGAGGGTGAAAGCTGACAATTGCTCGGCGCTGAGGAGGAGGAGGACACGCTCACACAACTAAAGGATTGGACACTGCAATGATTCTACAATTTCCCAATGCGCCTTGCGAGGACTTGCTTGGGGCGAGAAGGGACCGGGAGGGGAAGAAGGGTCGGGATCCAAAAGGAAGCTACGCTAAAGGAAAGCTACTGCCGGGAGCCTGGCAGCGAGGGTCGGCGGGCGCAGCCGTCCTCGGTGCGTACCTGCGGCTGGAGAGAGGGTGCCATGCCGATGCCCTCCCCGTTGAGCAATCGCAGCCCAACGTAGCTGTCGCCTGCGTGAGACAAACCGCAGCACCCCGATGACCCCACAGGCAACACATGAAGACGTCACGGCGGGCGTGTTTCGTCGGTCAAAAAGTAGCGCGCAGCATTTGGACGGTTTTGAAGTGGAGGCGTAGATAATTGTTTGTGAGGAAGAGGTGCCAAACTATTTCCAGGTGGCAGAAAGTCAGTAACCCGACCAGAGTGAAGGCGTAGTGGTTCCGGAGCCCGTCCGGAATGACGCGTCGTCGCCACGTCGCGTGTCTTACCTGAGTTGGGTGTCGCCGGTGAGTTGGCCTGGCTGGCTTGCGCCGACACGTTGGCGGCGTCCACTGCTGTCTTGACTGCGTAGAGGTTGGCTTCCTCCTGGAACTTGCCGATGTTCTTCTTGTAACGTATTCTCTTGTTGCCGAACCAATTAGAGACCTGCGGACGGATGCGCAACCGAGTGTTAAGCTGACAAACGACGCCGAGAAGCCCAAATCACAACCACACAAAACCAGGCTTGAATTCCACTAGGACGAACAGGCACAGACTCACTATTGTCACCCTGTCATCTTGAAGGCACATGCATATAGGTACACACAACCAAAAAATTGTTTTAAGATCTTTTATGGTTGCAATGTGGTTATTTTTGTGTTAAAATGTGCAAGTTTAAATGCTAAAAAAGGTTTAAGATTTCTCCCCCCCCCCCCAATGTTTTTTTGGTTTTGTTTTTTTTAATGAGGAGAACATCTCCAATCCAGCTCTTTGCATCTGAGTTTGAAGCTCAGGTGTTTATAATTTTTTTTGGGGGGGGTGGGGGGCTTTTTTTTCATACGCTATAATAATCTTGGTCTACATTGCAAATAATCTGAAAAATGTTGCAGATTTTTTTTTGTTTTGCCGACACTAACAATTCACAATGTAAGACAAAATTTGATGAAATTCAAGCATTTTCCCACAAAAAAAAGCACAAATAATATAAAACAGTCTATAGTTGTATGCGTTGAGGGCCCCTCCAAAAAAGAAGTTATTTTATTAGTTGTATTTTTATTTTCTTAAATGAACAGGCTGATTAATCGCTAATTAGAATGTTATTCAGCCAAATATTGGGATCTTGACTGGACTAAAAAATAACAAATAAATTACACACGGGTGAGAACTTTTGTTACCTGAGACACTGTGATCCCGCACTTTTTGGCCAGCTCCTCCTTCGCCTCCTCACTTGGGTAAGGATTAGACAAGTGGGAGTAGAAATACTCGTTGAGCACCTCTGTCGCTTGCTTGTTGAAGTTGCGCCTCTTGCGTCTGATGCGGACAGAGGAAACAATCGGCAACATGCTCGGAATGTGCGCTGTCGTGCAAAGGATTCTCCACTTTGTTCTTGGAGAGTATGACCGGCAAATCAGATAGACGGACACGCACAAATAAGACACGGGGGCCACTTTTCGAACGCCTGCGCACAGACCTGGCATCAAGGAAGCGCGAGCGCAGGATCATGACGGCCTCGCAGGTGCTCTGCTTGAGCTGCATCTGGATGGAGCTGAACTTGCGGTGGATGATGGCCACCATGCGCTCGATCTCCTTGGGCGAGATGGGCCGTGTTCGAGACTGCTCTCTCAGCAGGTTCATTACATGGTTGGTGAACTCGCTGCATGCCTGCGGAGGGAGACGGAGAGAGAGAAGACGAGTCTTGAAAGCTTCTCGTGATAAAAAAAAAAAAAAAAAAAAAAAAGACAAAGGAGAGAAGCTGTCAGGTGCTACGAAAGAGTCGGTTGATATGAAGAGAGCGTCTCGGCTCGCTAACTCTTTCTGACTGGATAATCTGCTTGTCATGAGGAAGTATGGCGAGGAGTTTTCACAGACGACGTGTAACTCCAAAAAATTGGGAGACTTTGGGACATCCGTCCATCCGTTTCCGATCATGTTTGTCCTCATTGTGGTCATGAGCGAGTCCTTAACGAACCAAACTTTTCGGGAATTTGGAAGGAAAACGGAAGACCAGGAAAAAAAAAAGAGCACAAGCATTGGAAGGGCTTGCAAATTCCACACACTTGAGCTGCGATGCAAAACCAGGACCTCTCACCTGTGAAGCAGGCTTGCCAAATAGGACGACAGCATATTGCTCTTTTTGGGATGACAATTACATAAAAAGGTCATCTACAAAAAAAAAAAAATAACTCAACTAAAACGGTTTTCGGGATCACTTAGCTGAGATTGAATTCATTCTAACCATTGAAATAAAATGGGATAGAATCACTCTGCACGTTAAATTCTGACTTTTTAACATGTTAGCCAAGCAGCAAAAACTGTCTAAAGTCATGTTTACCTTATAAGAAAATATATATTAAACAGAATAGACCAATATGCATGATAAAATGTTTTTTTCCCTTTTCCTTCATGTGTCTTATGTGTTGTGTTGTATTATTTTGTCATTTTATGTTAACTGTTAACATCTCTCTCTCTCCTGTGGTTGAGAGGAATGAAATTTCATCTGTGCTGTATGTTGCACGTGTGGCACATTTGACGATAAAGTTGACTTGAACTTGAATTTGAACTTGAATTAATCTGTGTGCATCCTAGGTCATCCGGGTCACTGAAATCCACACAGGCAGAATCAAGGTAACTGTTCTTGACTCGTTCGTTGAATTAGCTTTTTCTTATTTTCGGAAAAAAAGAAAAAAAAAAACCTTGGGAAGAATTCTGTTTGACTAATTCCACACAAGACATCTTAATTTAACAATAATGTAGTACTGTTTGGAATGGGCTCCACTTTTGGGTAGCAACCACATCGGTCGAGAACCTGAAAGGTGGCGCTTGACACATTGCAGCCTGATGATTGGCCACTGTGGAAACAGGCCAATCAGGATTTATGGTTTCAAATCACACGCTTGCAAACGGAACCGCACCGCTCGGTGCAAACGCGACTTAAATGTGACCGAGAGGTTTTCGAATGATCTCCAAGTAGCCCGTGCATCACACCTGTTCATACTTCTCCAGCTCCGAGTGGTATATCTGGCGAATCTGGGCGAGTTTGGCTCTGTAGTCAGAGTGTTCGATGCTGCTGTCCGTGGGCGAGCCGCCCGCCGCAGCCGCCGCGGCCGCCGCGGCGGCAGACCCGCCGCCTTTCTCTGGCCCGGACACGCCTTCTGCCAGTAGCATGTTGTCCAGACGCATGATCTGCGGATCTGGGGGGTCTTCCTCCTGCACGCCTCGTATACTTAAAACTGGACAGAAAAATAGAAAGGGGCGAAATGTAGTTAGCTGAGGTCATGGGTACACATTTTAGTACAGGGGGCCATGTACCGGTTGAGCTACTTCAAAAGTTTTACATTCCGCCTCATCCATTGAGCTTGGCTCTTCCTTCCCGCGAGCGCGATGGAAAGTGAACCCACTTCTCCTGAAATTCAGAGAGGTCAAGCTCCGTGAACCCCAGTCAGGTTCTTCCGCCCGCCCCCTAGTGGTCGCCGAGCGAATTGCCACTGAACCCCAACTTGTGCTCGGGTTGCACAGCAGAGGGCAGTGTGGTCCCTCGGTGGCAGGCTGCCAGAGATAAGGGCATGAGGCATGGGACCAGTAATGGGAGTGCATGTGCTGTCACTATGAGCCCCAGTGGCCATAAGTATAGTTATCAGTCGCTGCTCTCCACCACTGTATTATACCAGGACCTCTGTCAGCCCGCAGCCCCGCTCTCATCTCTCTCTTTCACACATACACAAACCTCCAGATAACACACTCTGTTGGTGGAAAGTTTCTGCCGCAGACGACTCTCTTTGACGTCGCCGCCTCACACGTTTCACTCCATTTTCTTTTCACACTTTTCCAGGAAAGGTAAAGAGAAGGAGTCCACTTCTTGGAGAGAGAGAGAGTGCGCCTCTGTTCTCTGGGCATGTGAAGACTGTTGCATAAACATGGCAACATTGCCTCTTACAGGTTAATAATGTGTCACAGAAAAAAGGAACTATTTTATGAAATTAAGGCAAGTCCAGTCATTAAATGAAACTCCCAACGATATTCGGAGAGACCTCACCTTTATCAAGCGCGCTACGTTTTTTTTCAAGTGCTTGACAGTTTCACAAAATATCAATGGACTTGTCTAAAAATGAAGCCAGAAGTCCCCACCATGTGACAATTTGGTAAACAGGAGACTAACTCCAGGATGTTTGCTTTAAACATACGCCAACAATATGGATGACAGAATTAATCCCGCAGGAAACCGGGTCGGTCCTCGCGGGTTATGCTAGTTTAGTCAAAAAGTGACGGGAGTTCACGAGCTCAATCGGTGGAAGCGTCTCTGCTTCGTGTGACTTTTGTACAACGGTGAGTCACTGTGTGAACGTTTCGCCATGGAGAGCGATGCCAAAAAAACAAAACAAAAAAAAAAAAAAACCAACAGGTTAGTAGCTACAAAACGCGTGTGGTGAAGTGCAAAAGAAGAAAAGTTCCCTCAAACATTCCAGATGCCACAAACCGAGCAGATGAGTTGTTTTTTTTTCCCCTCCAACCTTCATTTGATAAATGAGTGTTCCACCATTTGTAGCAAAGCGTCCAACTTCCCTCCCTCCCTGCCTCCACCCCCCCTCCTTTTTTTTCTTGTTCCTTCTTGCCTGTTTCTTTGCCTCTGCTTAGGTCTCTTCTCTTTCCAAGGCACATTCCTGCTCTGCTGCTCCCCCATCTTAGGACTCAGGAATGCAGCAGACCCTGCCGCCTGAACTAATGACCCTGATTCGCCCATCATTTTCCCTCCACTTTTTCCTCCCTCGCAAGTCATTCACCAGCATGCTCTCCGCTTCTTAGTCAGAAAACGTGAAGCTAATTCAACACCAAAAAAAAAAGGAACGTTTGGGCACCTATTCTTGCTGCTTAAATGGACACCTTTTGTTTGAGGCGAGTTGTGTGCGCAGACAAAAAAAATTAGGCCATAGTGCCGCAGGCTGCGTTGAATGTCCATCACGGGTGTCAGCGGGGCTCTGTTTTTTTTTTTTTTTAACTGCCCATTCAGGGAGAAAGAGAGCTGATGTACAGTACAGAGGGCAACTGTAGAACACCGAAAGCTTCTCACCACTTTGCCCCCCTCCCAACCTCATTATGCCCCCCCGCCCCAGCTGTAGCCTAATGCCCCCCCGCATTTCCCTAATTACTCCAATTAAGCCGTGATTACCCACAATCGCACTCAAGCACAGTCTAGTGGTCGAGTGGTTATTACAGCAGAAGCTGGGGTGAGTTTGGATCGTACATACAGCCGTGGAAATAAGGGAAATTTATTTCCAAGAAAAGGGATTCCATCATTTTGGCTTGTTTTGTTGTTGCTTGACTTGCATTTTCAAATGCTGTGAAAAACGACGTCAAATGGAGGGGGGGGGGGGCTGTTTTGCTCAACCGGCTCTTGAGAGCGCAGGCACGACGGTTTGAGTTAATGACAAGCGGCGCTTACTTAAATTCCGTCTTACTCCGATAAGACCGAGAGAAGAGCCGACAGTACTTTGCACATGTTCCCACCCTCGCGGTGGCACCGAGAGATGGAGCGAGCAGCATATACTATGAAATATTCAGGGTATCCAGCTGGGCTTTCGCTGCATACATAATCTTTCTCATTTCGGTGCCGGCTTTGCCAGCCAGCCAGCCAGCCAGCGCGCGCGAGCGAGCCGCTGAGCTGTGCAGACACAACATCGGGGGCTGGCGTTTGGAGCTTGGCTGTAAGTAAAGGGGTGAAGAACCGAAGCAATACTGTGGCGTGATGTACATTAACCGTAATGCCGTCCACACCGAGGCGCAGATAAGACTTAAACTCAGTCAGTATATCATTGCTCAGCTCACAGCACAAGCTTTATCCTTGTCTGTCTTTCCCCTCGCTAGCATCCCCTTTTTCACTCCGTCTCCCCACCACCAACACACATCCCCTCCCCCCTTCTCCCTTTCAGCGCCCCCCCGCCGCCCCCCCCCCCCTCTGTTCTCCATTTCAGTCGAGTTCTCCATGTGAGCCGCAATCCCTCATGCTGTCAGCCCCCCCCTCGCCCTCTCTCTGTAGACAGACAGGATTAGCATTTTAATTGCATCAGCTCCCTTGGGTATTCTCAGCCTTTCACTGGGAGAGAGCAAGGGAGCGGGAGAGAAGGATAGGGGAAGGGGAGGAAGAGGAGGGGAGGAAAAAAAAAGGTGAGGAGAGAGGGGAGGGTGGAAGGAGAACCAAGGAGAATTGCAAAAAGGAGTCGCAGGAGAAGATGTGCGTCTGTGTGTGTGTTTGCGCAAAGCGGGGAAGAGACACAGAGCGGTTACAAAAAAAAAAATATATAAAGAATCCAGAGTCGAGGCATGCCAGAGAGAGGGAGAAAAGATGGGAGTGTGAATACATCAGTTATCCTTTCATTACACAGATAAAGAGAACTGGGACACGGAGATCTTTCCACAATCATAAAAAAAAAAATGTGTACAGTAAAAGAGGGTGCAAATTTACCTTACAAGGAAAATGTGAGACCTGGTTGTTACAAGTGCTACTTATAGAAATATGCTGTTCATAATAGTGTATATTTTTAATCGGGTTATTGTCATGCTAGTAGAAAGGAAGTTAAAAAAAAAAAAAAAGAGAGGGTCTTTGGAGACGAGGACATCAACAGTAAAGAGGCCGCATTATAAATGAGACGTCATCTTAAAGGACTCCAAGTAAATGAAAATGCTGTAAATGTTAACATTAATTCAAGCAGTGTTACATCCCCCTTTTTTTTGTTTGTTTTTTTATTAAATAAGGTGTTTTTGGGGAGGAGTACAGTCAACTTAATGAGCACAATCCATATGTTCATTGCTACTTTAAGCAGCTCACACTAATCAGCATCTGTTTGGGGAGCTCACCAGAGTCCTGTTGCACGCAGCCCTCCACTACGCTACAATTTTACACACACACACACACACACACACACACACACACACACACACACACACACACACACACACACACACACACACACACATATATACATACAGATAGCAAACACAACGTGGTCTGATTACGGTGTGGAATTGGACAAGTCGCACTTTGGGCGACACTTCAGCCCCAGCACATCATTAATCAGCACTTAATTAACTAAAAGGGATAGATTTGGATGCCAAAGCAATGACGACACGGAGCCCCCGCCCCCTCTTTTTTTTTTTTTTTTGAACGGTCATACACACTGTCTCACTCGAGCACAAACACACACACGCACACTTAACACTAATGAGGGATAGATCAATTAGTGCTGTCAGGTAATGGGAGGCTTTGCTACATCTCAATCATTGATATGCATATTTTGTGTTATCAAAACAATGCGAGAGTCGAATACAATTTTAATATTAACCACCTAAGAGCGCAATGTAAATAAAAATCACGATGTTTATATTCTAACATGCAACTTAGGTGATAGGCCATCAGAGTCCATAAATGACATGGAATTAATTTTTCGAAAAACAGAATTAGCAGTCATTAAAATGCAACGCGAGGCTCCATAAAAGAAACAAAAAAAAAATTGTCATCACAAACAGCACTTTAAATTTAATTTGCTGAATTTTCCCCTATAAAAACTTCATGATGTCTGTTTGTGCGATTAAATGATAGAAAATGTGATGTCAGAGGACATAAAATTATTTGAAGTGCCGGCATGGTAAGGGCTGAAGTAGTTACTTTTATTGTCATCAGAAAAAAAAAATCTAATTTTAAGACGTTAATCCCCCAATGAGCACAGCGCCTGCTTTACGAAGCAAACAAACTAAAAAAATTATGTACATACATTTTTCAAACATAATCTGGCAGAGGACTACACACTTTACGAGATTTCTACGATGAATGTTCTGCGCTCCTAAACTACCGCCGATAATGTGACATATGACCAGCTCAATAGAAGTTTTAAAAATCTCTGGAGGTGGTAGGTACCAATAAACAACTGAAATAATGTGGTTGCACAAGTGTACACACCCTCATAACTGGGACGTGGCTGTTTAGACATAACCAATCACAATCAAACTCATCTGAAATCAGTCAGTACACACCTCAGATCGTCCCCAAATAATTTGAACAGTTCATAATTCCTTCCACCTTGTCTTATGCCCCAGTTACCAAGCTCCCAAATGTGTGTGTGGGGGGGGGAAATGTGCTCAGGTCCGATGAAACCAAGGTTGAAATTTTGGGCCATCATTCAAACGGGTATCTTTGGCACAAATACAACACTGCTCATCATCATCCTACAATGAAGCATCA